ACTTCCTACTGTGACGTGGCACTCATTACGCAACCGGCAAGCACTGCAGCTATATAAGTGAGCTGCACAGCTGGTACCAGTCAGTTCTAATGTGGCTACCAGCGAGTTCTACTGTAGCAGTCAGCGACTTCAGTTGTACTGTGACAGCCGCCGAGTTATAACATGGCCATCGCTGAAGATAGTTCCGAGCAAGCCTACGAGAGTGTGTTATCAACAGTTCTCCAGTCAGCGGACTACAGTTGGAGTATAGCAGCCGTCGCGGAAAGAAGATCCGGACGTGTGTGTGATTGTGTAATTGGGAGCGTGTGATATAGTGATACATAGCTCCCCTACTGTAAACGTGTAGACTGCTGAAGACAGAGTGAACTGATTTGCGCATAGGGTTATAAGTCGTGAAACCCCGCAAGTGTTAGCAGATTAATGCGATTAGGGTTATAAAGTGTGAAACCCCGCAACTGTGAGATAAGTAATTGTAGCCGTTATTTGTAGATTGTTAAATAAACCAATTAACCATCTCTACAGCGTCTTCAGTAACGTAAACACGTTACACTGGTGTCAGAAGTGGGATCAGTAACGCAAAACACGTTACAATATCTTCTTCTTTTATTGTTCCTTCGTTGGTGAGCTTGTATGTATTTATTCGATTGCGAAGGTAGTTGATAGCTGCCTTTTTATGTTTGTATGGATGACATGAAGTATTATGCAGTATGAGGTCGGTAGATGTAGGTTTCCTGTATATTTCAAATTTTAGTTCGTTGTTATTTATGATGATTGTTAGGTCCAAATAATTTAGTTTATTTTGAGACTGCTGTTCCATTTTGAACTTATGTTTGTGATGCATTGTATTAAATTCATTTAAGGTGTTAAAGATGTTTGTTTTTTGTGTATTGTAGATTATTAATATGTCATCTACATATCTATAATAATCAATAATATGATGCTTCTTTAGAAGGCCCAGATATTGCAAGAACACTTCAGATAGGATGGCTGAGGTTGGTGCTCCCATTGCTAATTCTTCGTTCTGTATGTAATATCGTTCATGGATGTTTACGTAATTTTGTTCAAGTATAATGTCGAGTAAGTTTATTATTTCATTTTTCTCTTCGTTCTTTCTGTTGTGGTTTCTGCTCAATAAATCTTTTATTATGTTTCTTACTTCGTCTGTTGGTATATTAGTTGTTGTGGCCCAAAGGCCGACTCCCGGTAATATGTTAACGTAGTATTAACATTTTTGTATTTTTGGGAAAATATTTGTTAGGATAGATTTGGTTTTGGGAAATATTTGTAAGAGGTACGAAAGCGGATGTACGAAAGGTTAACAACTTAAAGGAATTTCTGAGTATGGATTTAGACGGACATTGGCTTGCCACAAGGGAATGCCTAGTCAGCAGAATGACGTTGAATGTATATCGAACTGCTAACTACAGAATTTACACTTGTGTGATGGGGGGACGTGTGGAGGTAAAAGTGTCAGCCAAACGGTTTAGCAGTAGAAGGGTGTGTGTCCCCTTAGGATCCCAGCCAACGAGATCACCCACCTTGCGATAAGACGTCATTGGAGGCGGACTTACACCCTCCGGGAAAATAATGAGTAAGCATACATAGGGGTATATAACCCAGAGACCAAATTAGGAAGGGGATTATTCTAACAGTAATTTTGGCCATTTGCGGCCGTAGGCTCTGTCCAAATGGACACCGACTCGGCTCCCGGCAACGCCATCCGTCTGCAGACTCAACGCAAAGTAAGTGGAAACTACTCTTATCGCCATGCGCAATAATTGTAATATTATTAAAGTGTAACTCCTCAAATGGGACTAGAGTTAGGATCGTTAGAAAAAGTGTACAGGGCGTAAGAATGACCAACCGAGTGATGCGAGGTAGCCAAGTGTAATGTGTAACCCGACACCAGTCGGCCCTTTCAGTGTGAGAATTCCAAATGTATATAACTGTATATTGATTGTGTTTTTACTAATATAGTGTAGCATAGGGTGAGGATGTGGGTTTTTGTGGTGATTTTCTCCCCTTCCACATTTCGCACCTGCGCCCTCCTGACAAGCCCGGTGAACAGAGAGCCCCTAGCCATGAAGCAACGATAGAGAACGCTATTCAGACGTTTCCTTAGTCCATATCCCTGTGACTGCAAAAGAGGAGGTGGCAGTGGGGATACCTCCACGCCCCCCTGTCACCTCGACGTAACAGTGGTGGCATAACAGTGGTGTAAGCGGTGGGGATACCTTCACGCCCCACCCCACCACGATGTAACATTAGTATACATGTTAATGATGTCGAATGAGCAAATTCTGATGGCTTCGTTTATTTCATTTTTCATTAAGTCGTGGATAAGGGTGGGTGAATTTTTAATATTAAATGTATATGGCAGCTGTAGTGGTAATAATATAACTAGCTACAGTGAACTAAATTTTAAATTCTAAATTTTAACTTTTAACATTCGTATTTTTAACTTATTTTTAACTTATATTTTATAAGAAGAACTTGACACATATTATTTGAGCGTGGACCTGAACAGGATACAGGATCAAAATAAGTGGAAAAACGAATGTGATTGCGTGTGATTGTGCAACTGTTTTCATACACCTGAGGATGACCTCTTGAGGTCGAAACATGTAGTGTGACAGTAAAGAAAAAACGTGTTGTGTGGTCGGTCAAATTAACTCTAATATTCATTTAATACATAACAGGATGCAAGGAACAATTAAATTCTGAATCTGCTTTTCATCCCCTGAATTATAACAGTAACGTGTCTACTTCTGCTACTTTATTTTAATTAATGTTGGTGATTCTGATTATGATCAATTTTTCATTCACATTGTGACGTGACAGCTGAAAGAAAGAATAGCGCAACAGATAGATGATGCCATTGCTAGGCAGTGGTGCAGCAAACATATTTCTGCAGCAGTGAATAAACATGCAACAACAGAGGAAGTTTTTTAAGCGATGTTTTCAATGCAGTCCATGCCAAGGCTATATAATGAATATGGCGAGCTGAATCAAGAGAGTTAGTGGTTCGTGAGACCGTAAAATATTGTTATGAGTCCCTCAGGATTCAGACTCAAGAATGACTTTGCTGGTGAGGGCCAGCTGCAATTTACCAGACCAGACAAAACCAGTCGATGTGCTTTCAGTTGCCTTGTTAGCAGCCGTTGTGTTTACATTTCTCATGGTTTGGTATTTGGTTGCCTAAATTACAGTACAGAAGTGTTAATAGTTCAGCAGTTTATATGTAATTTTACGACCAAGCACCAAGTAACATACCTCATTGTACCCAAGAGTACCTCCCTCCCTTGTGTATGGTCCAGAATTCCCTGCTCCATTTGCTGGGGCTCCCATGATACACTGAGAGCTACTGGTCAAGGTAAAAGTACGTCCATATGTGCCAATGCCCAATATGATCTTCTCACGTGGAGCCCCTTGGTTGATCCAGTATTGTATGGCAGCATCCTAATAAGGCAAAACAAATATATAATTTAATTTTACATTGTCATATACTGAAGGATGTTCTACAGCATGTGCCTAAAAACGAAATAAACCACGTTCAGTAAGGACACGTGACAACGATAGATCAAAATGACACTGCTATAAGAGCACAAGCAGTGCCGATGGTAGACAACTATATAATTCATTTACAGTTGTTAGCTAAATAATCGTTTTTGTGCTGAAAATATTTCAAAAAGTATAAGGCAATAGCAGTAACAAATGGAAATTGAATATGATGAAATTAAAAGAAGAGCAAAATCAGAAAATGCTTGTTTATTAGCCAGTTTTCCTAATATAGATTTATGTGATCTCCTTCCTGTCTGTGTGTCTGTGTGTTCCCCCTATCACTGTTAGGCAAAGGGGTCTCCTCTTTGACAAGAGGGGGGATCAGCCTTTCAGTGTTGGTGCTCTGACTAAGCAAAGCAGCAGACCTCCTCCTCCTCCCTTTCAGATAGAGACAACTTTGTATTACCAAATGACTTGCCCAAGTGTTACTATGTAGCAAAACGGATGAAATAGAATACAATACAATGTTTTGAACATCTACCTAATAAATCAGAGCAGACCAAAAAGAGAGCACTAAGTGTAGCACCAAAAAGAGTGTGAGCAGAGCAGTGAATAGAAGAGAGAGCACTAAGTGTAACACACAAAAGACAGAGGAGATTGCCATTGCTAGGCAACAGTGGTAAACATATCACTGCCATTGATGAGCAACTACCTTTAAATTATTATGAATGCCCAGGCATGTCCAAAATTTTTAGCCTACTTTCTGTATTTTGAAAAAATAAATGTAGGATTATGAAATCACCTTGCTCTTTGTGTGTGTTGCCCCCTTCCCCCATTATTGCTAGGCAATGGCTCAGTAAACATGTTCCCACAGCAATGAATACACATGCAAGAACAGAAGAATTGTTGGATGTGCCATTTTCTATGTTGTGTACGTCATATCAAAGGAAAGTGGACAATTAATTCTTCACAGAATTACTTATATTCAGTTCAGAAACTGCCCACAATCATCTGATATGTGCCGTACAAAACTCTGATGATCCAAATTAATAACAATTTCCTCTTTTGACTTGAATGGATTATTTAATGCAGAGTTGGATCCAGTGGTGGGATGTTACGATTCTTGTAATAAACCTTTAGGTTCTATAAAAGGTAGGAAAATTCTTGACAACTTAATGGGTATCAGCTTCTCTGGAAGGGTTCTGCTCCATGGTGTTAGTTTTTATGGTCTTGAAATATGATCTCTTAGAGGAAAGAACATGAGTTACATGTGTCTGAGAATAATGCTCAGGAAAATTCTTGAAATTAAGAGGGTTAAAAAACGTGCTCACTTTAGAGCATTATATATAGTATGTAGGTTTCCTAGTAAAGAACTAAGCTCAATCACTGGACCTGTCCAATGATTGAAGTTAAGTTTTTCTATTGGACCCAACTTAGTAGGTATCTCCCAACCCCTCATCTGAGATGGAAATAGACAGTTTCCAAAACGTTATGTTTTTAGCAGTGTTGGCAACATCACTTCAGGACAGAGTGACCAATGCTAAACATTATTTTCTTCCCGCTGCCCTGCAGGGCATACAAAAAGAAGATTTAGCGGGACACCGCTGACATTGGCAACGCTGCCCATCAGATGGCAGCAACTTACCATCTTCATTTTTCCTATAACGGCCACCTCGATAATAAGCTTCACTCTTCGACCGTTATAATCTGTGACGTGCATGCTGCAATTTTCACTTTCATTCAGTATTACCTAAAACGGCAGAACTAAAGAAACGGCGTGTTGAAGATGAGAAACGACGATTTCAGTCCACGTGGCAGGAAAGTTACTTTTTTGTTGAACATAATGGAAAACCACAGTGTGTTATCTGTTCTCAAGTCTTAAGTGTTTTGAAGGGGTATAATGTGAGTAGACACTATACCAGCTTGCAAAAATCAAAATACGACCAATACCAGGGAAGTGCCAGGAGTTGTGTGTTTAATGATTTGAAGCTGAAATTAACTAGACAGAAGAATATCTTTCAGCAACCATCAAACACTGCTGGTTTGAAGGCATCTTATGAGGTATGTTTAGAGCTAGCTAAAAGTAAAAAGTGTTTTAGGGATGGTGAGCTCATTAAAAGATGTGCTGTAAAAATGGCATCTTCATTTGGAGATAATAAGATGGCTAAAAATTTTGAAACAGTGTCCTTGTCTCATCAGACAGTAAGTAGAAGAATTAATGATATGGGTAGTGAAGTTTCAGGTACTCTCAAGGGCATTTTGGAAAAATGTAGATTTTACTCTATAGCTCTAGATGAGAGCACAGATATAGCTGACATCAGCCAGCTCCTTATCTTTGTCAGAACAATAAACGAAGAATTTGAAATTCATGAAGAACTGTTGGAATTAAAATCATTAGAAACCAGCACCAAAGGTACTGACATATTCAACGCACTGGATAATGTCGTTTCTAAATATGGAGGTTTTGGGAAGTGCTCTGGCATTGCAACAGATGGAGCTAAAGCAATGGTTGGTCATAGAACTGGGTTAGTAGGACTGTGTAAAGAAAAAGGCATACATTGTTTGTTTTTCCACTGCATTATCCACCAGGAGGCTCTCTGTGGAAAAATTATAAGGCTCAGTGAGACAATGAAAACTGTTGTAAATACTGTAAATTTAATAAGGGGAGGCAATAAAGCCCAGAGACACAGGGCATTTATTGCATTCATGGATAATTTGGAAGGTGAGTATGGTGACATTTCATTGTACTGTGGAGTGCGCTGGCTAAGTGCTGGAAATTGCCTGCAACAGTTTTTTGGGTTGAGGAATGAAATTCTTGCTTTTCTCAGAAATGAAAACATTGGGCATGAGTATCAAGAAAAACTGGAAGAAATCCAGTTTTTAAATAATCTTGCTTTCCTGACAGATTTAACATCTCATCTAAATGCTTTAAACCTAAAACTACAAGACAAAAAACAAAATATCTCCCAGCTTTATGGACATATTGAGGGATTCCGCAAAAAACTTGATGTAATGCAAATTGCACTGAACGCAAATAATACAGCACACCTCCCATCTTGTCAGCAGTTGAAAGAAGAAGAAGAAAATGACACAAAATTTAGTATGTTTCATGAAATAATAATTGATATCAAGAAAGAGTTCCAGGACAGATTCCAGGATTTTGACTCCCTAAAACCAAAACTTACACTGTTCAGTAACCCCATGGAGATTGAAGTGAGTGAGGTGCCCTGCGACCTTCAAATGGAAATTTCTGATCTTCAGGCAGACCCATTCTACCAGACTAAAAAGTATGATGTCCCTGAAACTTTCTGGAAACTGTTTTCTAAAGAACGTTTCCCCAAACTGCTTAAATTCTCTCTGCAGATGTTATCGCTGTTTGGCAGTACATATGTGTGTGAAAGTGCTTTTTCTGCTCTCAAACAAATTCAATCAAAAACGAGAAATCGCATTGAAAGTGCTTCTGGAATCAAGCCTGAGACTTTGCCTTACTGAACTTACAGTGGACATTGATAAACTTGTATCAGAAAAGCAGTGGCAATCATCACATTGATTTCTCAACTGTAAAATAAAGTGATATATTAATTGAGTGAGTTATATGTAATTCATTTTCTTTCTTTAACCTTTAAACGCCAGACTTCTGAAATAGTGGTAAGCTTGAGCTGGCCGGAGTTTATTTAAATGCCCGCTGCTGGTGCGCGTTTAAATGCCTGTTGGTACTCTGCCTTTAAATGTCCGTTCCTGTTAGTGNTTCATTTCTGTTTGTAATACTTGACAAATTTTAGCAGTCCCTGATGTCATAAAACAGATGGAAGCAATAAAATCATTTGGCCTTCTGCTAGCACTGCTTACACTCTTCGGATTTTCGAATCTTTTGACTGAAGGTCAGAAGAATGAAAGAATGGGTATTCAAGAGAAAGCTAGAGGGGTCCCTTCTTCAGTTCTAAGACTTTCCGTTATAGCTGCAAAAGCTTATTGCCCTTTCTATGGGCCTGAACACACAGCTGCATCGCGGCTGAGATTCAGAGTGCGGTCTGTTTTCTGTCTGTGCTTAGTGAAATCAAATGCTGTAGTTTTATTTCAGCCTAAATATACATCAAGCAGATAACAACAATAAAGGTATGTACATCGAATTTTACTGTATATTTTTAACACATTAATCTGCAGAATCTGCAATAAAAGTACTGGCTCGTGGATGAGTTTGGGCATAACTCATACGTATACACTTTTTGTTGTTGTTCACCTAGGTATCATTTTAATTTTTCTATTAGGGCTTTACTCAAGTCTGTCTGGTAATTACTACATTCAAAAATAAATAATTAGGACTGTGCATTCGCTTCTACTAGCGGTGTGTGCGCGCGCTTCCCCTAGCGGAGTTTAAATGCCCGAATGGCCAAAACTGGGTACTTTGGCCACGATGACCTTACTCACCACTGGCACAAACGGGGCACTTCGGCACTTAAAGGTTAATGTCTCTGGCCCTCACTTTCCTATACAAAAATTTGATTGGCCCTCGGGTACCTAAAGGTTGGACCACACTGCTTTAGAACATCAGACAATTGACAAAGTCCAAAAATCAAGTAAACCCATTTCTTTCTTGTTAGTTATATTTCATTAAATATTCAGTGCAATTAGAGCTAACCTAGTTAGTTATTTCAAATCTCTGACTTACCTCCTCATGACCCTTCATTATTTACCTAAGGCTCCCATGGAAGTAAAGAAAATTGAATGATCAGCTGTCTAACCAATCTGTGCAGTGCATGACAACATAATGTTACTAGATTATGTAATGCATATTTACCACAGTCAGACCATCATCATTGGAACCGGCATAGAGTGGAGCATTGTGCCCTGTTACAGGATCCCATGGTCCATGCAGGTCATAAGTCATGACATTAATAAAATCCAGGTACCTGAAGAGAAATGTGGCAATGAATGCTTTTGTTCCCAGACAAGAGTGCTATTTTGTATCCTTGTATTAGTACTGGTAATTGAGTCAAGGAGGATGAGATGGCGAGGTCATGTAATGCATGATGCAACATGCATACAGAATGTTGGTTGGCAGAGATCATGCGAAGAGACCATTTGGAATTACTAGGTGGTAATGAAAATTAATTAAAATGAATCGAAGGAAAATAGGGTACGATGATTTACTTGTCAAGAGCTTGAATTTGTTTCATATTGTCACGTTTTGTGTGTGACTACTGATGGGGTATGGATTGGTGAATGGAATTACTGACCACTTTTATACACCACTCAGAATTATACTTTACAGAGTACTGACACACACACACTAGTGTTCTCAGTCTATTACAGTCTCCACTACCCATTTCCTGGTGTGGTATAAAAGCAGAGCCCAAAGCTTGCAATCATCAGTGATCACATTCAGTTCAGAGTCATCAGAGTCATCAGAGTCATCAGCTCTTGAGTGCGCCAAAGACAGCTGCCGCAACTCTCCAGCAGCCGCGTTCTGCTACCAGACAACTAACGTAGCTGTTGTACTCTCCAGCAACCGCACTCTGCTACTAGACAGCTAACGTAGCTTCCACAACTCTCCAGCAACCACACTCTGCGACCAGGCAGCTAACGTAGTTGCCGCAACTCTCCAGCAACCTCGTTCTGCGACCAGGCAGCTAACGTAGTTGCCGCAACTCTCCAGCAACCTCGCTCTGCAACCAGGCAGCTAACATAGTTGCCACAACTCTCCAGCAACCATGCCGTAGATAGCTGTTCCTACAGGCGAACGCAGCACCACATTACCGGCCGGACAAACCATCTGAACGGCCGTAAAGACTTAGTCTACTACAAAGGAGCAAATTCTACTATCACACTCACGGTGGAACAAACTGCCCTTTTCAGGGCCAGCCAACTTTTTGACATTCCACATAGCTTCGCAGCTATTCTGTACATTCAATTTATACAATTTAATATATACAATTGTTACAGTTTTACGTGGTTGTCTTTTAGAACATTGACAATCCCACAAGTTTATGCTTGATAGAATAATCATTAGTGTATATATATATATATGATCTAATTTCATAAATAAGTTAAAATCACAATAAAAATACTGACCGTTCTTATATATAAAACGCTTCAGATTATCCCCAGACTCTCTCCTATTTTCCTCTTAGAGCCTTAGCTTATATGCATTCAGGTTTAACTTTCTTAACTTATTATTAATAGTCATCCTCCAATTTCATGCTATATGTTGTAAAGCAGCATTTATGAACTTGCAGTCTCTGGCTTAATTATTGCCAGTTCATACATTGTATTTTATTAGAGGTGAAAATGATATTCTTTCTGCCTCTTTTCTTACTTTCGGCAATTAACAGTTTTGTACCCAACATTACTATTTTGGAGGGAAGTATCTATATCATTTTAACTCAATTTGTTCTTCTCCTCCTCCTTTTCTTGCCCCCCTACCACCACAAATAATAGTAACAAATTTCTGTTGTGACAGCTTAAATTATTTTGTGGATCCTTGTATATAATTACAATCAGTGGCAGCTCATGGCTCAAATAGATGGTGGGGCTAATATGAGACAGTGATACATTCTTACATTGTTATATTATAATAATAATAATAATAATAATAATAGTAATACGTAGTGGTGATGCGAGTTGTAGTACAAACTCCTACTTTAAAACATGTGAAAACATTTTGCACTTAACAGTATTAGAAAATTTAAGCATGCTCCATTGCAATTCATGCCATTAATTAAAATAATGCTTTAAAAGTTACCTCATTTATACAGGAACTGCACTCGTCTATTCTTCCAGGAAGCAAACAAATCAGTCACTTTTTGGTTGAATGCCGGAATCTCTGCAATCATGTCCTTATGAATGCTAAGTACAGCCAGTGCCTTCAGACGTTCTTGACCCATTGAGTTCCTTAGGTATGTCTTAACTCTTTTTAGAGTGCTGAAACAACGCTCGGATTCGGCCATTGATATTGGAGTTGTAAGTACAATATCTGTCAGTTTGTGTATTTCTGACAGAGAGGCTTCCAGATTGTTCTCTCTTATTAACGTCCAAAGAGCAAGAACAGGCTTTACGTTTGCAAATGTGTCATGCCTATAAAGGACACTAAGTTCACTTTCTAACTTATCTTTCGAGAGCATAGGATAATATTTTACAGCACTGATCACAAGCTCTCTAGGAAAGCAACTTTATGTGATGCAAATAATTGCGGTTCAATTAATGAAAAACATTTTTTGTGATGCGCTTCTTCAAAACGATGTTTCATCTGGTTGACTATTATGTCACATGCCTCTTTAGCTTCGGCACTTGTGTTCACATCTTTCCGCACACGTTTTGTTGGACGTTCTGAATTTCGTTCTAGTTCAGGCAATTGTTTCTGATGACATTTATTGCAGTTTCGAACTGCTGAATTGCAGTACGAATATTTAGAGCATTTCCTGACAATTTCTGTATTGTGTTGTACTGAATGTCTACATGTAAAAGAACGGAATTAACAAATGGCAACAAATATAAGAATTCCGCGTCATTCAAAAAATTAGCCAGTCATATGGACTCTCGAATTGTAGCATCATCCCAATCATCTTCATTTTGAATCATGTCTAAACACTGAAGCAGAGCATGCGTGTTGTTGAAGACATTATTTACACCTCTACTGTGAAATTTCCAGCGCATTTCTAGTCTTCGGAATCACCCGGCCACACACAGTTCTTAATAAATCCGAGCACTTGGGTGAAACAGAGAAGAATGATGAAAAGCCCGATATATTGATAAAAAACAATTTCACTGATTTTACAGAGGAACACCCTTTCTTCATTACTAAGTTTACCTGATGAGCGTAACAGTGGATGAAATGTGCATGAGGAAATGTATCTCTTATCTTTACCTGGACCCCACTGTTCTCGCCACAAAACATGGGAGCGCCATCATAGGATTAAGCAATTAGTTTTTGTTCAAGGTTGTATGGTTCTAATTCTTGATTAAGTACTGATGCTAAACCTTCTGAAGTTCAATCCTGAATGCGAACAAAGGAAATGAATCTCTCAACAGGACCACTGCTATTGACATACCGTAGCAGAATAACTAATTGGGACATGCATGACACGTCAGAGATTTCATCTGCCTGGACATCTACATATTTTGCATTTTGAATTTCTTGTTTAACCCTTTCCTTGTATACCGCATACATACAGTCCAGTAATTCATTTTTAATTGTTTTCGACGTGTTTTTTGACACAGTTGCACTATTTAAATGTTCACTGAGAATACTATCTAAAGTCGCTAGTTCTGACATGAGATCCAAAAATATCCCGCGATTGTAAGAACTCTCGCGCTCTTCATGTCCCCGAGAGGAAGTTCATGCATTCCACAAAACTTTATACAATTAGTTGCCCTATATAATATGTGTCTGTTTTTATCTACAAGTTCATTGTGACGCTGAATAGAAACTCTATAGCTATCATTTAATTGTGTGAAAATATTGACAGAACCAAAGAGATTAACTTTTACATCATTTTCAATATGTCTTTGCGGTGCTTCGTGCTTTCTAACTCTTTCTGACAAATGTTTAAGGTCTGTTATACCTGTCACAGTCCAACTCGTTTCCCCACCAAACAATAAACACATAAAACAAAAAATTTCTTTTCTTCACTTAGAGTCAGCCATTTCTTCTTGTGAAATCAAGATAACAGAAACGTTCTTTTCTGAGTCTTGCAGTTCTGACCAAGTTTGAAATCTGTTGGTTGATGAGCGCCAAGAGTATATACTTGTAATTTCTCTTCTAAACTCAAAGTTGAGAATGGTGATTTCAGAAGGGCGTCCACCCTAATCATATTAATCACTAATTCTAGTACGAATACAATATTAACCTAAAACCTAATTTGGAAATTACTCTTGAAAAACAATTTTAATTTAGGCCTACGCTAAAATTACTTTATTCCCGAACTAGTATCTTCTCCACTGCTCAAAACACAACTGAAAGATGGAATCTGAATGGTGTCTGAAAACCTACCCTTTGTCTATTCTTACAAAGAACATGTTACTTTTTTTTTGTTTACATAATATTAGCAATCAGAATTACATTTGATTCTATAAGCTAATTTGCTGTATTATTCTTCGTGATGTGGAGAGGGCTTATCCAGAGATAAGTCCTCGTTAACCCTCTCTCAGGTCGGCTGGCCAATTCCTTTTCAGTCTTCGCCCATTGTGTGGTTCGAGTAACGGTTGCATCAGTACATTCTCATGTCCTTCTATTTTGTTCGGATATCTTGTGCTTTTCTCTTTTATAACTTCCTTCACTAGTGGCACTTTCAGGCCTTCTTGGAGTGTTAGATTGGAAACATACCATGGGGCGTTATTAATCATACGTAATATCTTTGACTGACATCTCTGGATTATGGAAATATTGGTTTTGCTAGCACATCCCCATATTTCCACTCCATATGCCCATATTGGTTTTATTATTGTTTTGTAAAGCAAAACCTTGTTGTTCTGATATGTTGGTTTTTTGGACTTTATCCATCGTCCTGGTTTTTATTTGTTATCTTAAAAACCAGGACGATGGATAAAGTCCAAAAACCCAACATATCAGTGTGTTATACACCATCGTCAGAATCCTATAGTAAAAACTTGTTGGCTAATGAGAGTTTGGACTTTCTTCCTATTAACCAATGCATATCCTTGATTTTTAAATCAATCTGTTTGCGTTTTTTAGTAATGTGTTCCTTCCAGGTTAGATGGTTGTCCAGATGAATACCTAAGTATTTTGTGCTGGGTGATTCAGGTATTTGCATATTAAAGAAAACTGCAGGACATTGTTCTCTTCTTAGACTGAAGTTTACTTGCACTGACTTGGTTTCGTTGATTTTTATAACATGTTACTTAAGGCTGGAAGAATAGAGGTAAGTTCACAATAACATCCACACTCCACTCGTCCCTTTCAGCCTTGTGTATAGTGTTCTTTTTTATTGCGGGCTTGTCAAAACTAGCCCCAAGTGTGACATTTCAAGACGCGTGCGACTCTTATAATCCCTGAAAGGTTCACTGAACTTAAGGCTGCTAACGATACACAGGGCTAGAGATGAGCTAGCCCCTACGTTATTGTAACCGTACAAATAAGATGTGATATGGCTAAGACATCACTATTGCATTTTCATGTCTCCTTAATTACATCATAACAATGATTAATATTAATATTTTGATACAAATTTGATCTCAATAAACAGAATAAAATATGAATGAATATGAAAATTCAATACTACAACAAAATCAGGTGGGGCTTAGCCCCTTTAGACCCTAATGACCCTGATTACAATTAAGAATGTTCAGTGTGAATGATTATGGAGTCACATTTTAAAATCACGTAAAGACGGTAATTTTTGCATTGAAAATTATCATGTTTACTAACAATTAGATTTTTACTGTATAGTATGTGACTGACACCGAACCAGTTCTTGTACAATCCACTACAGTTTTTCGAGTTTATATATCAGAAAATGTGAAAGACTACTGGCCTAAACATCCAAAAAAATATTGTTGCATGAACTAGATGAAAAAAAACTGTCTGATATGATTTGATAATCTTGGCTGATACTAATTAATAAAATTATAAGCCAAAAGACAATACAAATTAATTAAGACTTCCAAATAAACTGAGACTTACTTTCCTAGTTCAGAAATGTCGTATGAAAGACTTGCACTGGCCGCAGCAGATGCTACAGCTGCTGACAGTAGGTATCCATGCTTATCAAATTCTGTACGAAGTTCCCTAAGCAGAAGACTAAAGGCATTCTGAAAGAAATCAATGAATTATAAGTGTTCTTTTCTATCCTTTGATAAATAGTTGCAATCACTGTTGAAGTGTTAGCTACCTAATCCTCCAGTCAGCAATGCAATTTCACATAATTTCTTTTTAAGGGAAGCAAATGAATACATCTGTGTAATGACTGTCAAAAGTAGGTGAGCCATATGTGGCCCACGTATCAACACGAGCCTGTAATTTTCTTCAAAAATAAATCAGTGTCATTTTTTTTTATTTGTAAATTTCCATTTAGTTCTCAATTTGCTTTACTACAATATACATCAGCTGCTGGATTCACACTATTACTTTTCACAATGAGAGTCACATCCAGGTCCGAGGCTTCTTATGATCTTTTGTAACAAGCCTGTTTTTTACGGTAAGGAGTTGTCAGCCTCACGCCCAACCCCCAAGCTGAAAGACTACCCCTTGTCAGTTGTCCATGACTGCTCATTCAGTATATTTGCAGCTACCCTCCATGCCTGGAAGGTGTCTCTTCCATCCACAACCTGAGGATGCACCATGCTGTGGTGACAAGGGACACACCTAACATGATTTTGAATCACTACTCACTGAATTTTTCTACTTCAACTTCTTTTAAAAAAAATTGGTCCAGTAGATGCCATCATCATACCTTGTCAGTTGCTGCACCTCCTCGTTGTGCAGGGTATTCCCAGTCCAAGTCAAATCCATCAAATCCATATTCTCCAACAAACTTAACAATATTGTTTACAAACGCAGCCCTTCGAGATGCATCATTCACCACCTAGAAACAAGTGTCAAAGGAGTTAGAAACGTTAAATCACACAAACACTCGAACTTCCAGTCAGTTGTGTACAAGCCTGGCAGTTACCATCCTCTGTACTGATTACTATATTATCATGTTTTATGCTGAATGTTTGTGTCCTGTATCAGACATTTTTTTATTTGGCAAAATGCTCTTAGAGAAACATCAGCTGCATCTTATGAGAGCTCATTGTTGCCAAGTACAGTATACCCAGAAAGAAGCTACAGTCTGAATCTTATAGACTGTTGACCACAATGATCGCGTTCCACAACATAGGTGATTGAATTCAGTGTATGCTGATGTACACAGCGTGTCTTCAAGGTCACTGTCCTCTGCTAGAGTAAACAAGGAAGCCTGCTAAGAGTTGGATAGGGCATAACAATTAATGTTTTTCAAGGAACTTCTGAGCCAAAGGACCAAAGAGCAAGAAGTTGAAAATGGTTTTGTTGAGGACTTCTACATATCAGGTATTTTGTAAATTGTATTTTGTGAAGAAAATGGCTAATTATCTGTCTTAATGTGAACATTTGAGCTGTGCAATGAAGTCAAGATTATGGATTTGAAGACCTTTTCACTATGAGAAGTTAGTAATAACAGCCAACCCTCCCAGCAGTTTATTATCATGTACATAAGTCCACGAATGTTAATATTTTGTAATAACATCAAGTATAAATTAGTAGCTTATATCATTTTTCATTACTGCTGAGATCTGGCTGAAGAATAAATTACACATTCAAGTTTCTGCACCTCCTGATTTCAAAATTTATATAAGTCAACCCAGTCTTTCTTGACATCTGTATTTACCCTAAGTAATTAATCCATAGTTCTGCTATCAGGTTTGTAATTGGAACAACTGTCTCTATAATTTCTACATTCTTAAAAAAAAACACACAAAGCCTGAAACCTGATTATCCCTTCCTGATCTCTCATGTCATAAGATTATAGCAATGCCCTTCTTTTATTTCCATATCAGAAGCATCAGATTTGTCATCACTTTTATGGATATTGTACGTTGCCTTCTTGTATCAGAATGATCATGCTCACCACTATTCACTCTACTTCCAGAATTCTTTTTCTGCCCCTCATGGAGCAAGCAGCATCATATATTATGTTTGCACACTAATCAATCCATGTTTTTCTTGGATGCAACACATCTTCATTCTCAGTGTCTATATTTATTACAAGTTTTTGGATATTATTATGATTCATTTGTCACCACTGCAGCTCCCGCCATTCTGGGCTGAACAGCCAGCCACGTGTTTCGCCCAAGAAGAGGCACAGTTTACCTTGGCCAGCATCAGCAGCAATCAGACCAAGTTCTGCTATGTGATCTTGCAGATGGACCACTGGTACGCCATAAAAGTGGAGGAAATCTTGCAAGTGATCTCTTTCCTTGAGGTTTTGCGACCACAATTTGTATATAGTAATGCTATTCTAAACCAACTATGCTGCAGCTTAGGCCGTTAGATGGCAACTTCCTAATGTAGAGGTGTGGGTTCAATAACAGGATAGCTCATGTGAGAGTTCTGATAAATTAAGTAGTACTAAGACTGGAATTTTCCCTGAATGCATTTCTCATCACCTAATAATTATCATTTCACCAACGCTTCATATTTATCTGTTACCCCAGATAGCTAGTATGTTTTTCACACCTTCATTACTTAATTAGGCTTTGTCTTTCATCCGACACTTGGATGAACTCAAGAGCAAGGAGGTTAACTTTAACTATTTTGTACCTTTTCCAGAAGTATCTGTTAAAATGTGGTTTCATAAAAATGCTGATAGCTGTGAGATAAAGTGCATTACTATTCATATCTGTATGTACCGATTGCTGCCCTTTCTCACTTATTGTACTCTTTGGTCTTAAAGCAATTTGAATCAAGTGAAATGGTAGAATATTTTAGTCACATGCTCACCACTAATGTGCTAGCTGCTGAACATTAAAACGCTATTCTACATATATTGGAAACTGTTTACCGATGAGTAAGAGGCGGATCCTTCATTCCAGCCACCAATTGCAACCAAAGTCTTGAGTGAGGGATTCCTTTTCCTCAGATCATTAAAACGCTGAAAACCACCTACAAATGAAACAAAATAATATTGCACAAATTTCTCATTAGTTGATGAACTGTAAGAAATGCTTTTCGCCATTCAGTTCAGAATATTTTATCTACTTGTCTCTTAACCAAAATCCTAAAAATTAAGTGTAAAATTCCCATATGTAGGGAAGGGTGTGTTCCATTTATATGAATCTGCCAGTTGCATGAGAAACACTTTACAGAATCCCAGTGCAAAGTCAAAGTTTTCACTGTAGTTCTTGCATGAGAGTCTTCCTAGGCAACATGGTGAATCGATAGTGGAAAGATTTTGGATAAATGCCACAAATTCAACTAGCCTCTTCTGTAATAGCATCTGCATGAGAGATAACAACAGCTATTGTTGACAGTGGTAGCTGGGAGAAATGTCACATTAGAGATGAATATATGTTTGTCACAAGTTTGTTTTTTAATATACAACAGCGGTAAATTTTTGCTGGTTGGATGAGAATTATGGCTATACATCGATACCCAATAACCACAGTTTACTGTATGTCATTCTACCTATTGTCTTATATGCATTTGAAACTTGGTGTCTTTCTCCCATGAAGGTTAAAGAACAGATTCATGGTATCTGAGAACAAAGTTCAGAAGAAGGTACTGAACCTAACTAACCAAATTCATGAATTCCTGAAGCTGAGCACTTCTTGAGAGGCTGCCAATTTTGCAGCTATTCAATGACTTCCATCATTTTATGGAACCTGAATATTCATTACCCTGTTCACAAGAGCCCTCCACTGATCTCTATCCTGAGCCAGATCAATCCAGTCCATACCACCCCATCCTATCATTCTAAGATCCATTTTAATATTGCTGAACCACCTACACCTTGGTCTTCCTATTGGGCTCTTTCCTTCTGGCTTTCCTACCAATATCCTATAGTCATTCCTCTTCGTCCCCCATTCATGCTATATGCCCTGTCCATCTCATCCTCCTTGACTTGTTCATTCTAATTATATTTGTATTGTATTGTATTGTAGTGTATTGTACTGTATTTCATCCAGTTTGCTACATAGTAACATTTGGACACGTCATTCGGTAATACAAGTTAACAAAATCTACAAAGTTACAAGCATACTACCAACATTTGTTACAATCATAAGCAATATATAAATACAACATTCCAAAAAATATACAAACTACTATATACAGCTCATGAATGGCTACGACATCCAAACATAAGTACTTGCACCGTCCACTTTTTTATTAAAACTAACAAATTCATTTATCGTATAAAAAGAGTGTTTCAGTAAAAATGATTTTAAGTCTTCTTTAAAAGCTGAAAAACCCACCGAGTTTTTTATTTTGTTTGGCACCTTACTATACAATTCTATCCCCATATTTACCACACTCTTTTAAATAATGTAGTTCTGCAGAGTTGAACATGAAAATCCTTGTTTATTCTTGTATTATAATTTGTAAATATAGACCTAACAAATATTGTAAAGAAAAAGATTTTGAGGTATCTGCTGTTAAGTTAAACCTGAGCTCCAACAGGCTATATAATTACAATATATAGAGCTCCGACTGGAAACATTGATACTTTCATAACAAAACTACATACAATAATTAGAAATCTATGTACCTCAACACAAGAATATATTATTTGTGGGTATATTAACATAAATTACCTTCTTGATAATGAAGAGAAAAACAAATTAGATGCCTTACTGGGAACTTATAATTTAATAAGTACAATCAATTTTCCCACCAGAATTCAAGGAAATTCTGCTACAGCCATTGATAATATTTTCATTGATATTACTAGAAGGGAAAATTATTCTGTAAGGCCTATAATAAATGGATTTTCTGATCATGATGAACAACCATAACATTTAAAACAATAAACATGAGAACACATGCTAAACAATTTAAAATAATAAGGAAAATAAACAAACACACAATAAATGACTTTTTAATTAAACTAAGTTGTGAAACATGGTACTCAACATTTTCTATTGATGATGTTAATATAATGTTTAACTCCTTTTTACACACTTACTTGAAAATTTACTATTGCAGTTGTCACTTACCCTTGTCAATTTCATTCCAACTATCCATTATTCGGACGTCGTCATTATATTGAAGGCCTACAAAGGCATAGATAACATGAGTGCAGAGATTAGGGTCAATGTATTCTATCTCGAACTTTCCATCTCCAGGACGATATACTGACCAGCTCCCATGGTAACAGACCACTTTCTCTGCAATAATACATTTCACATTGCAGCATACTTGTGAGAGTTTTGTGTGACATTAACGACATAACAAAATCATATATATATATATATATATATTATTAATATAATAAAGCATATCTAAAATGGAACCTGCATTAGCTGGTAACTTTCCTTTATTGGAAAATATTGTGATGTGGCAACTAAAAACCAGAATAGTGGAGCCAGAGCCAGACGTCCGTTGCTGAGCAATGGACAAAAATGACGCGTTCCTGTTACAATGTATAGCAGCAAGCGAATCATTACAAGTTAACATGCTGCAAACACTTAAAAACGAAATGGTTGCTGAAAATAATACAGTCTACTATAAATGATTCATTCGTTTTTAAACGCTACATTTTCCAAAGCATTATATGTACAAATATGATTGATATAGAAAAAGAACCGTAAACTTACCAAGTTTCCTTCACATTCTACAACTGTTCTATTTGTGACCCTAGGGTCACACGACACACGTCCAGGCGGTAGTCGATCTCGTTCCACACATTTTGTAGCATCATCCTGTCAATGGTCATCACTGCAGCATCGATGCGTTCCGTCAGCTCTAATAGTGTTCTTGGCAGTGGGGGTACGTAAACACGATCCTTAATCCTTAATGTACCCCCAAAGGAAGAAGTCACAAGGCGTTAGATCGCGGCCAAGTGAACAGAGCTACGTCATCCTCACCAACACGCCCAATCCAGCTTGTCCTTAAATTGCCGATACCACCGCAAAATGCTTTGTTTACATGGCGGTTCTTTTCCGTACTCTCTTTTGAATGCGGGTTGCACTGTTATAACAGACGAAAATCTCGCATATTCCAACAAACAAAAACTCTCTTCTTGCTTTGTCGCCATTTTGTAAAGGCACTGAACTCGTGCTGCCAACTGGTGCATATAATACAAACTTGATGAGTTTTCGGTTCTCTTTATATATGAATCATATTTGTACGTCTAATACTTTGGAAAATATATCGTTTTAAAGATGAATGAAGCATTTATAGTAGCCCTTTACATTGTTTCCCAAGATAATGCATTTGAAAAACACAGTAGTAGAACTCTTGGAGATTGTGTCTTCTGGGGGGGTCCACTGAGCAGTTATGAAAGGCAGTGGATCTGTGAATTCAAGCACTAGCAGAGATCAAGAATTTGAGAGACTAGAGACCAGTCAAAGATTCAGACAACAGGGAGAGAAACATGTAGTGAAACCATAGCTGGGCGCTGACCTTGATTTTTCCTGTTTGTTGTGTTGTGATGGTCGATAAAGAGTTGAACAGGGAGAGATTTGCAAAACAGATGTCATTAAGGAGTTCAATGTGTTAGCAGTTATAATTGTAAGAGAGACGTCCAATAAATCCAATCATCAAATCTAGAACCCACAATTATTCATCATGCCTACCCCTTGTATGTGACAATATCTTGCTCTTGAGAATATGGAGTGAAAACTATTTAAATTTACTCCATACTCCAATAAGTGGGAGAAATGTTTTTAGGGGCACACGGTAGTGTAGTTGGTTGAGGCATTATGCTACAAGCCAGAACGTCCTGATGAGATGGATTTTTTTCAGTTTACCAAATCCTTCCATCTGCACTATGGCCCTGGGGTCGACTCAGCCTCTAACAGAAATCAGTACCAGGAATATTCCTTGGGGTAAAGGGCAGTCGACGCATAAGGCTGAAAACCTCACCGCCATCTGTGGGCCACTTATCTAGAAAATGTGGGGGCCTCAATGTATCATAACCCTATGGGCTTCCATGACCCATTACAGCGATACCTTTACTTACTTGTACTTCTTACTTTAAGTGGGAAATGTTTAATGTACAGCGGTCTACCTGCGATCCTTAATATATATCTTAACTTAAATCTGAGAGTATACTGCTATTATTTTGTACATTTACTTCTTTTCTTTTTTTACATATCTATTTTAAATAAATATAGGAATGTTTTTATGAAGTAACAGACTTCTTGCACAGATCTTTTTTCTTCTAGCCTTGTGAGTTCTGTAACTGACTTTGGGTATTCATTTTTGCTGTTCTCAGACAGAATGTTCATCATTGTTGTCTGTTGTCTATCCAATAGAGAAGACACAATAGATCACTGTGGTCACGGTGCAAAGACCTAGAAGGCCCACCCCTTATACATTCATTCATCCAATAGACAGAGCTAACCCCTATCTCCGGACGAGATAGGTCCAGAGATAGGGGCTAGCTCTATCTATTGGACCCAACTGAGTAGGTTTTACCTGAGGATAGGGACAGAATCCAGTCTCCGAAACGTGTTTTGAAAAAGAAACAGGATGGTTTTTTAAAAAATAGGCAAGACAATGGATAATGTCCAAAAACATAATACTTGTGGGAATTCATCCGTTTAACAGGAATGTCTTCTCAGATGAAGACTTTGCACCCTCAGAAGTGACATTCTGCCCCGGTGTGCAGGAGAATCAAGCCACTGTAGATGACACTCACATTTCGGTGACCAATGAAAATAGTAATGAAGTGTTCTTAACAGTTCAATCTGCAATAATTGCCATAAGTGTCACCTGCTGTTATCTGACCTTTACCAAAGGCAGTGCAGACAAAGAAGCAGAAGAGAACTTCTAAAAGTCTTAAATTTTATCTTACGCTCTTCTAGCAATGGGTAAAGAGGAAAGCAAGAACAAATAAGGTAGGAAAACTCTTTGTTACAATGGCCCTTCAGTAGCGTCAACTTGTTCTGCAGCTGTAGAAGAAGAGAAAATTAACTGTCCTGTTTTGTGACGAAGCCTATGAAGAGCCTGTTACTGAGGACTGGGTGCAATGTAGTGTGTGTAAACAATGGGGGCATGAAGACTGTTGAAGCTACAAAGGCTTGGAACTCTTAAAGTGGGATGTATGCTAACGCGCATGCTTAAAGGACACGTTGTGCATTCTTACAGAATAGTGCCTGTAAGATTGCACATTTGCTATTTGTTAAAATTCTTTTAAAGACAAAATATTTAATTTTTGTAACTCTTTTGATGTGTTTTGTATTCTTTTGGATCGGGAGTTTTGTTTGATAAATACAGTTTTTCATTGGTGACAAAAATGATGTATCTATGGACATAAATACATTAAGTATGCAATCTTAAGTGCCTTTACCTTAAGTAGTGAAGTAGTGAATGGAAATGTGATAGTGTGGAAACAGCCACATAACCATCAAAACGCTATGAAAGTTGCATTGTTAAGCTAAGAATAAACATTGAGTGACATGTCATCATGTATAATATGAGAGGTACAAGATGTCCACAGAAACAAATACTGTACAAGTAATACTTTAAGAACGCCCAACTTTAATCTGTAGTATAAGGTAAAACAGTATCTTTTGTGAGTTGCAATTATGAACAGTAGCAAAACAGATTACTTCTTTTTATGTATTAAATTTTAAGTGTTCTTAATGGCTGACATTATAAGGCTTACTTTCGGCAGCGGAATGGGCAGCGTAGTTAAGAACCGTGATAGCAGCTCCAAGAATTATCAACCAGGACTTCATTTTGGCAGCCTGCAATATAAGCAGCATACTGTAATAACGTTTCTGTTGCCTTCTGTACATATCATGTCTCATACATAATTAATCATTTGTTGTCAAAGATGTTTGCCATCTTGATGCATGTAAAAGTGTCCAGTTTGGCTGAAGCATTAATGTTCCTCATTTATAGTCAGAAGGTGCCTGACTGGTCTTGGTGAGTACACCATCCATCCTGACCGAGGTTTTTCACGTTTTCTGTCAGTCCTGTAGTGCCTCAAATTAGGCCACAACCACTACTTTCAGCATTGCTTCCAGTTCGCTAATCATCCTGCTTGTATCATCGAATTGTCTGACCTACAGATATCATCATTAAATACATCGCAAAATAAACAAATTAACTCTGAATATGGTAATTAAACATAACTGACACTCTAGGTTAGAGTTTTTGAGGTGGTGGTTAATGATGTCAAAGGCACCCAGTCAATTTCTTGTGCCTGTAGTCTGTTAACTTTGTTACTTGCAAGCTGTGAATATTATTTAAATTTGAAAACATGTACTTTACTGGGACGAATTTGGGGCTCTTTTTACTGATAGGTTGGTGCCCTTCTTTATTAGTCATTCTTTTCTGTTTTAATTTCACTTCAAGAAACTAAATACAAACGAGGTTATTAACCAGAGAACCAACTTATTTTCTTCTATATAAAGTCACAAGTAATGACAAATTAAATGTTTAACTAATTCGTGGTACAGGGTCTTTCTTGAAAAGTTGATATTCATCTGGTTAAGAAATTCTGTTTTATGGAACCTAAAGGTTCATTACTGTGTTCAAAAGTACCTGGTATTGACCATATACTGAGCCTTGACACTCCACTGCTGCAAGTGATGAAGGTAAAGTTGTCCCTGTGTTTAATTACCGTATTTACGCATGTATAGGCCACACATTTTTTGCCAAAAATTCAAGAGGAAAACTGGGGTGCAGCTTATATTCGAAATATTCGAAATCACACTTCAATAAAAAAAAATTATATTCATAATTAGTAATACAGGGTGTAATACTCCTGAAATAATATTCCAAGAAAATTATTTTTTCTATAATTTCTGTCTGAAAATTGTGCTGCAGCCTATGCACGCACGCGGCCTATACATGCGTAAATACGGTAATTAAGCACCATGTCATGAAGGTGTATGAGGAAGTGAGAGTATACTAGTCAAAGGTGAGCGGTGAGCTTAAGCCCCCAGCCACTTTACCCCTAGAGAAGAAGCCCCCCAGTATCCATTATGTAGGAGACTGTGTGGGCCCCAGAGCTGGTCTGGATGCTGTGGAGCATGGAGCTTTACCTCCAATCTCTTGTGTACATTCTAAGGATGATCTACAGCAGTGGTTACCAACCGGTGGTCCGCGAACCCCCGTGGGTCCGCGGGATAGTTTATTTTCATTAAACTTTATCTTATCCTGTTCCTCACACCTGGGATATTTGCAATGTATATCTCTGGCTCTTGAGGCCCATGGTTGAAGTAAAATTTAATGGGACTGTTAGTATCATAACGGTACCTTCCCTTTGTAAAGCAGAGGTGAATAACCAACGATTTGTGAAGCTTTTTCCAATGAAATTTTCTTTTGGTCCGCCCATTGCATCTCAGACCCGTGTTTCAGGGTGGACTGTTGTCCTGCTTACCTGCTGTCTGACCAGCCTCCCACTCCTCCCCACTAAATCCATCCCTGTTTGGTTGGGAATGAAGCTGGGACCATTGACCACATTTCTTATTCATTTCAGTGGCAGAATGAACAACCTGTGTGTCTTTAGTTCTTGTGCAGTGAATTTTTATAATATTTTACAAGTGTGTTTTTCTCGGTTTAATATTCAGTTTCTCTGCTCTTGTTCAAATATTTGAGTTCACAACGAAACTTCTGATTTTCAGTTTGTTCACGATCTTATTTAGATTTGGATCGGTGAATAAAGTGTGAATCGTTGATTAGGTGATTGTTAAATTCATAACATTAGGCCTGATTGATATGTTCGTGATCTTCTGAATAAGATCCATTTATAACAGTATTTTATTGTCATAAATGACACATTTAGTGTTGTAAAATTGTAAGTTACCGCTTCACTTTCATGATATGTTAAATATCAAAAATTTCCATTTTGGGTTTTATGGGGGCCGTGGTCAATTAACATTCGGTACAGGGGTCCACGGCATCAAAAAGGTTGGGAAACACTGGGTTAGACTGTTATGAACCGAAATTAAATTCTCGTAACAACTTTTAAAGTTCGAANCAATTTCAGTAGTTTCATATGTATTTGAAATTTTCTGTAAGGCAAATTTACATGTGACACATGTCAGACACACAGAGACAAAAAGACAAAGTTTCAAATACTTTCATATTTAAAACTAATATATATGTATACGTTAAGTATGTGTAGAGCTGCACAAATATTACTGCACATAGTACCCAGTACATGTTACAAAGTTTCTATTAACAGAAGTTTAAAGACATACTTTGTTATAGCAGAAAACAGCTTACCTGGTTATGCGTGTTTCATGAACCTACTCAGCACATTTTGAGGTAAATCTTTTTTACACATCCTCCTTAAATAGTCTTTTTAAGTGTGACAAACGACTTAATGTGTTATGAACATTTACTAATGTCACTGCTATAAATTTAGATAAAAGGGGATCCCTTGAAACAGTAAGGCATTTTCATTTTTGTTTATGACCCACGTATAAAGCTTTTGTAGCTGCATTATAAGGTAGAATTGTCTATGTGCTTAATTAAGCACATGTGAGGGAATGGAGGTGTAGATATCACCAACCATTCATAACCTTGGCAATAGAAGTTGGTGAGCAATCATGTTTACACTCCAGAAGCTTTCATTTTCAGTATCCACTTGAGAGGCCAGTTGTAGCCCAGAGATACTATAGGTTTTGTGGTGGGAAAAAAAATCATTTCTTCGTCTGCTACAAATCAAACCTCAGTCATCCAAACTGTAGCCAGTTGCTATAATAATCAAGCTGTTCTGACTCACATGTTTCAGTCTGAAAGTATCTGAATTTAATAACATAATGTGACATTCTTCTTTAAACTAACTGCATTCTGGACCTTCATGTTATATGGCGACAAATGGTTACCTCAGTACTCTAGCCAACATTTTATTTGGAGAACGGGATCTTAATATTCATTGGATAGGAGGCTGAGTCTACTTGGTGGTGAAGGGAAAACTTCCTACTGATAATCAAGCCCTCGACTTCCAAAACATTGACAATCACTATACCTCCTTAGCCTGAGTCATATGTCTTGAATGTTTAATTTTCATAACAAACACAAATTTGACTAGTGTTCACCAGTTGCCGCTGATATTATTGTTGTGGCATATTTCAACATTCATTCATCAGTAATCTGTCAAGACGACAGGTCCACAGTCTCTTCCAAAACAGTTCCTCCACTTAATGCGATCTAGACCTTTCTCCTTCAAATGAGAATATCCTCTTCTGTCCCCTAAGTTCATCCAGCACTTCTTACATCTTCTTCCTCGTCTTCTGGTCACTTCTAGCCGCTCCTCTATCTCTCCTTCAATAACTTCTTTTAGGAGGCAGTTATGGCCAATCCAATCAGCCTTCCGTTTTCTTATTTCATGTCGGATATTCCTCTGCTCACTGGCTCTAAATAACACTTCTTCATTTCTCACATAATCGGTCCAACTGATCTTCTCCATCCTTCTCCAACACCACATTTCAAAGCTTTCCAGGTGTTTCTGATCTACTGCCCTAAGTGTCCATGTTTCAGCCCCATAAAAAGCCATGCTCCAAATGTAGCATTTCATTAGTTTCTTTCTCAAATTTAAGTCCAATTTGCTAGTAAAAAGATTCTTCTTCTTGCTAAAAGCAGCTTTTGCCATGGCAATCCTAGATTTAATTTCACAAATACACCTTCCATCATCTGTTAACAAGCTACCCAAATATCTAAACATTTCACATTCTCTAGTTGTTTTTCGTCTATCTTTATTGTGACTGGGGTTGGTTGTCTTGAAATTTTCATTACTTTTGTTTTTCCCACATTCATTTCCATGCCATAACACCTTCAAATTTCAATTAGTCTATCAATCATGCCCTGTAGCACAGTTTCTTCCTTAGCCATTAACACAAGGTCATCTGCATATTTCACAGTTTGAATAATTTGCCCTCCTAATTTGAAGTCTCCGAGTCCATCCAGAGCTTCCTTGGTAAGGTATTCGCTGTACAAGTTGAATAGAATTGGTGATAAACAGCATCCTTGTCAAACTCCTCTTCCAATCTGCACGCTTCTTATCTCCCCTCTGTCCAGTCGCACTCTAACTTTCTGATCCATGTACAATTTATTAATCAATCCTCTTTCACACTAATCACTACCTGTTTCCTTTAGGATCTGCTTTAATTTGGTCCAATTTACACGGTCAAATGCCTTCTGCCAGTCTATAAAGCAAGCACACAGTTCTTCACCTATCTCCAGAGTTCTTTCTGCTATAATTCTCATCATCCCAAATGCATCCCTGGTTCCCTCTTCTAAATCCAAACTGATCCTCTCCAAGCATATCCTTTATTTTCCTTTTAAGTATCTTTGCTATTATCTTTGCTGTATGTGCCATAAGGCTTATTGTGCGATGGTCGCTGCATTTTGTAGCTTTTGTCTTTTTCTTTAAGGCAATCATTGTAACTTCTGTAAAGTCCTTGGGCCACTCTCCACTTTCATATATGGTGTTCATTAGTTTTGTCAGTGTTTTCAAACCACCTTCTCCCAGTAACTTGAGCACATCTCCAGGTACATCATCATCTCCTGTAGCCTTTCCATTCCTCATTTCCTTGATAGCTTTTTCCACCTCACTTTGTAAAATATATGGTCATTTCTTGTCTGTATCTACTTCTTCCGGTTCCACTTCGAAGGTTTCTGGCTGATTAGGTCGATCATATAGTTCTGTAATATAATTTTCCCAAATTTTCAGCACTTGCTTCTGATCTACTATTCATTTCCCCTGGGAGTCTTCAATGGCAATTATTTTGAATCCCATGGTTCTCTTTCCATCCTAGTTCTTTTGTCTTCATGTACATCAAATCATAACGTCCTGTTCTTTGAAATTCCATAATCTCATTACATATCTTCTCAAGATATTCATTTTTGGCCCTGTCCATGGCTCTTTTCAATTCATTCCTCAGTCTCCTGTATTTCCTCCTTCCTTCTTCATTGTTTACATTCTTCCAATTCCTTCGCTCCTCCATTTTACTCATCATCTCCTGTGTAACCCATGGTTTTCTTGCTATCTTCTCAACTTTACCAACCAATTCACTAATAGTATGTAATGTTCATTCTTTTGTGGGAGCATCCCCACAGCGTCTGGCAGACAACCATCACCCCTTTCAGGAAGTGCTAAACAGGCAGCTGTGACCAAAGGGACACTGAATTTATACCCTCTCCAACTGCTACGACTTATATACCAGCTACATATATTTATAAACTTCACTGTGGCCCCGCCTTTCCGTGCACGGCCCAACGGATGCGCGCCGTGACAACTGCAACTTTAGCTCCGCCTTCCGACCGGCAGTATTTAAGACCGGGAGCCAACGGTGCAATGAGTTGTTCAAGTGACTAGACTGCCGTGATAGCGATTACTGCTAGAAATAGGGCATAATCTGCTGTACAATGCCTGGGTTGACAGAGGCCTTGTATATATTGTACATAGAAGGTACAAATGTGAATTGTAAATTATGTAAATACAGACAGTGGACTTCTTAAAACAGACTGACTGACAAATGACAGACCCGACCTCTCGTCAGAGAGGGTGCCCCAAATGGACAGGACAGCAACTTTCACAAAGAAGAAAACATCTGGTCATGAGCCCCAGCTGGAGCTCGACACCAAGACAGACAGACTGACTGACCGTCAGTTGTAACATGACTTTGACTTTGACTTTGACTTTTGCAATGAGTTCAACTTGAAACGGCAACACAGTCAGAGGCATCAACTCCACTTCTGCGACCGGGTAACTGACATAGTTGCCGCAAACCTCCAGCGAACGCATCTTCCGCAACCCAGCAACCGACCGAGCCAGTCAATCCTACCGGCACACGCAGCGCCGTATCACCGTCCAGACCGGCCAGCCAATGCTTGAATATTATACGTATATTCTGTGTTCTGTATATTGACCTTAAACGATTCAATATATACAATCGTACAGTTTCGTGTGGTTTGTCTATTGGAGTATTGACGACAATCCCACATTGGTGACCCCGATAAAGTATGGCGACCGTTGACAACACAACAACAACGGAGGCCCCGAGAGTGACCGTGCGGCTCCCGCCGTTCTGGGCCGAGCAGCCTGCCGTATGGTTCGCCCAGGCTGAGGCACAGTTTTCATTGGCCAACATCAGAGATGAACAAACGAAATTTTATTACACAATCTCGCAGCTGGACCAACGTTATGCGGCAAGCGTTGCGGACATCATCACTGCGCCGCCTGAACATAACCCCTACGCCACGCACAGGGCCGAGCTCGTGGGGCGGCTGAGCCCCTCGAAGGAGCAACGTATCCACCAACTCATCACGGTGGAGGAGATGGGCGACCGTAAACCTTCGCAGTTCTTGAGGCATCTCAGAACCCTCGCCCCCGACATGCCCGAGTACATCCTGCGCACCATCTGGTCCAGTCGGCTGCCTCCACATATAAGGACCATACCCGCCGGCCAAAATGATTGCAGTTTGGAAGCCGCCGCCCGCTGCGCAGACTGCATCACTGAGACCGCACTGCGACCGGCGCTCGCTAGCGTTGGGCCATCACCCAACGCCGCACTCAGGGAAGAAATAGAGGACCTCTCACGACAGGTGGCAGCACTCCGGGCCGAGCAGAACCGCCCCCGCAACAGCTCCAGAGACCCTCCGCCCACCTCCAAAGACCATCCTCCCAACCCCAGAGACCCCCGCTACAGAACCAGGTTCTCCCACCCAGTTACCAGGAACCACCACACACACAATAGATCCCCTTCCCGAGACGACCCCGCAACCACCCTTTGCTGGTACCATCGTCGATTCAGGGCCCGGGCACAAAGGTGTACCTCACCCTGTGACTACCACCAGCAGGGAAACTAAAGCAACAGACAACGGGCCGCCTCTTCATCACCGACAAGTGCAGCAAGCGGCAGTTCCTGGTCGACACCGGTTCCGACCTGTGCGTATACCCCGCAGGCTTGTTCCGCGACGGAAGGAGAGGGTGAACTACCACCTCTGAGCTGCTAATGGCACTACCATCCACACCTACGGATGGCTGCTTCTCAGCCTCAACTTGGGTCTCCGCCGGGATTTCACGTGGCGTTTCATAGTGGCCGACGTCGCGCATCCCATCATGGGTGTGGACTTCCTCTCCCATTTTGGCCTGTTGGTGGACTGCCGAAACGAGCGTCTCATGGACAGGGTCACGACGTTATCCGTACGGGCTCAAGCCACCAGCATGCAGATCTCGAGCGTCAAGACCAACACTGGCGGCACACCGGTCGACAGCTTCATCTCCGAATTCCCGGACCTCATTCGCCCAGCCGGAGTCCAGCGCAAAGTCCGCCACAGCACCGTGCATCATATACGGACGATACCA